CTGTTTTGTAAACCTTTTCACTTAAAAAACATATTGGGGCATCTTTCTGTATCTATACATAGGGCTCTACCTTCTTTTTATTTTATATTTCTCTATTAAAAGATTTTATTTATTTATTTGAGAGAGAGAGAGTACAAGCTGGGGAGAGAGGCAGAGGGAGAGGGGGAAGCAGACTCCCCGCTGAAGAGGGAGCGCAACTCAACTCAGCGCTCAATCCCAGGACCCTGGGATCATGACCTGAGCCAAAGGCAGATGTTCAACCAACTGAACCAGCCAGGCACCCCTCTACCTTCTTTTTAATAGCTAATTCCACAGTATAAATATACCATCATTTATTTATCCAGATCTATATTGATGACATTTAAATTATTTTCATTCTGTTCTAATTGTTATACAAAGCTAGAATGTACCCTTCCTATAGTTTCTTTCAATAATTTTTGTTTTAAATCATTTGGAATAAACCTAACCTACCACTTACTAGCTCTTTAAACACTTGAAAATCACCATCATATGGGGGCAAGTGGGAGAACAAATACAAGTTTTGAGTTACAATACTGGGATATCAGAAATCAATAGGGGAAATGATTTCCTGAAATAAAAATCTAAATGTCTGACAACACATTAAAATAGGTGCCTACGTTATGGCCTATGAGGCTGATGGGCTATTACATAATGATCAGGAACATGAAGACTGCAGCATCATGACAAATATAACACTAAGTGAGAAAAGACGTAGTTACATGGAACCAAGAACTATGAAATATGTCTGCATATGAAAAGAAGAGATACTCAAATGAAATGTAGCTTAGTTAGGGTGCTAAGAGCATGGGTCACCATTTCCTTTCAAAATATCCTTTAATATTTTATAATTTAGTTTCTATGGGGAATGAAAAAAGAAAAACTGAGAGCCATTACAAAGATCAGGATCATGATTCTCAGTTTCAGGGCCCTCAATGCCCTCTTTCTTCCCTGATTATTTAGGAGATATCAACTGTCATAGTAATAATCAGGTCTTGAAATTCCCTGATGGCAAAGCTAAAATCAGCAAACAAACAGTGACGTGTGACTGTCCACAACAGTATGGAATGGAAGGTGTTAGAGATTAAACAAGAAAAAGAATGGACAATCAGGAAGAGTTCCAACTTAAACCATGTTCACAATCATCCAGTGCTACCATTCTATCTTCTCATGGATAGAGAACTGATAAGAATTTCCAGATCATACGGTCAGGGCAGTATGGGGGTCAAAAACCCAAGGTAAAGATTAAGACCTGGGTACTTAAGGAAGAAATGGTCATACTCTCAAGCCAACACAAAGTTCCCATTTCAGGAATTTAAAGTCTCACACTCTGGTCAGAATACCATTCTTTAAATTCATAAGCACTCATTCCTCCCAAAAAACTTCATCCATTTTTTTAAAAAGATTTATTTATTTATTTGAGAGAGAGAGTGTGTGTGTGTGTGAGTGCCAGTTGGGTGGGGTGAGGAGCTGAGGGAGAAGGAGAGACAAACCCAAGCAGACTTCATGCTGAGCACAGAGCCAAACATGGGGCTTGATCCCACAACTCCAAGATCATGACCTGCGCTGAAATCAAGAGTGGGACGCTTAACCAGCTGTGCCACCCAGGCGCCCCTCATCCATTTTATAAGCACTGATTAATTCCTTGAACAAATCTAAGTAACAATGGGCTTTTTTTTTTTAAGTATTCTTTGTCATTGATACCCAAATATTTTGCAAATCACTGGCCTGTGATGAATAATGACAGACAAACACTAGTGAGTAAAAATGATTACATTATTTTGGTCACTGTGTGCCTTCAGCATGAAAGGTGGTTTATTTACAATGCCACATCACCTTGGTTCTGAAGAGAGTGGCATATAAGCTCTGGCTGTTTAAATATTAACTACTGATGAGTCACATTTGCAGCTGGAACTCACTCTAGAAAAATAGGGAGAGAAATGTTCATGCTTGTAAGGACTGGGTGTTCATGCTCATATTTATAATAAGACATGGTGAAAACTTGTCTACTTTCTTGTCAAATGATTTCCTTTCAAAATAAATTTCCTTTTTTGGCCATTCCCAGGAAATATTTTTATTAATAACTTGGCAAAAATCTAGGCATGCTTATCAAATCTTCCTAACTTTTTTCTTTCACCAAAATACTTCCTAACTGCCTATCATGTGAATGAACTATGTTGGGGCTTGAGATAAACTTGAGACACAAGGAAACAGAAGATACAAGCCTTGTTCTCCAGAGCTTATGGTCTCATTGCAGGGCTGGGGGGTGGAATATGCAATCACAATTAAAGAACATTCAATACATGATCACCAGGAACAGAATCAGGATTGAAAAAAATCCTAATATGGCATTTAAGAGGTTTAGGTGTTCAAAATCAATTATATAACCACAAAATGCAGAAAGTCTGGGTTGATGGCAACTTGTATAAAAAAGATGTAAAGGTTTCAGCTGAGTAAAACTCCATAAAAGCATAAAAGTCAACTAGTGAAATGGTTAAGATAGCTCATCTAAATTAATAACAATATTGTATCCAGACCAAGGAAGATAATAATGCCATTAACTCCACATCCAGAGTTAGTGGTGCTGTTTTATGAGGCTCATTTAAGAGGAACATAACAGAACAAGGAGAGAGAGGGAGGGAGAGAGGGAAGGAAAGAGAGTGAGAGAGCGTGTATTCACGCTTGACAGTGGTGATAGTGAAGTATCCATAAAACATATATACAGAAAGAGTGAAGGAACTGAAGACATTTGGCTTGAAAGAGGAGTTGGGGTGAGTGAAGAGGGCAGCATATAACAGCTGTGATGCCTTTGAGCTGGTAACAGAGCTTAACTGTGCTACATGGTAATAAAGGCAAATTTTGGCCCCATATGAAGAATTTCCAGTGCCCTGGGCTTTCCAACATTGAACTTCCTCGAAAAGGAGTAAACTCAGTGGTTACTAGTAGTCAAGCAGAGATGGATAATCATTTGTTAAGAAAACCCTAGGAGCAATTCTTACACTGGGTAGAAATTTTAACAGATTTCTGAAGCTCTTCCTATCTTAGAAAAGCTTCTTGCTACCTTGTTAGCTGCAGGCAACAATATTACAAAGATGACACCCACCATAGCTACTTTTTTTTTTTTTAAAGATTTTATTTATTTATTCATGAGAGACAGAGAGAGAGAGAGAGAGAGAGAGAGGCAGAGGGAGAAGCAGGCTCCCAAGGAGCAGGGACCATAGCTACTTTTAAGAGCAGTTAACAATCTCAAAAAGCAGAGGAGTCCGGAATCACCACCGAACTTCATGTAAGATCTAGAAGGCTTTGTGACTTTGAGATGATTGCCACAAGTACTGGGAGGGAGACCACTGATGGCCAATAACTGGCCTGACCACTCAAACAGAGCATTGGCTATCCCCACTAGTCTCAGAGGTTGCTATTTTCTTCCTGCCTTAAGTGAAAGGCAATTTTTTTAAAGTGCCCTTTCCTTCAATCCTCTCCCCATTTAATCCTTTTCAGTGCATGAAGAATGTCAAAACTTCAAGAATCTGCAATATTCTCCTGTATTCTGGAAGAGCACAGATGCTATTCCTACATAATAGGTTCATGAAATTTTTGGCTACATATCGAAAAGGGAAGATTGGCCTGATCTGATGGGTCTACTGGGAAGGGCTTACAGAAGAAATCCTGCAGACTGGCCTGGTCACGTTCCTCATGCCCCCTCAAACTTATAAGTTGGGCTGGATCTAGCATGTTTTACCTGAGACTTAGATTTGTGAAACATGTATAAATATATTTATCATAAATGAGCTATGATAATTGTCACCCTGAAATTTATAAAAACAGGAACAACATAACAGCCAAATTCAAACGTTTAGTTCTGGGAAGACAAGACTCAAGTTACACAAATGTCCTGTGAACTCAGGTTCAATCTTAAATCCTATCTTAAATCCTATGCCAATTTTAAATCCTATGCCTGGAACATTCCATATTTAAGGATATAATCAATGAACAAACATATGCTGAAAGGCTCTTGTGAACAAGAACCCATTTATGTTCAATGAAAGACAGATGCCTATCTTGGCCTTGCTAGGTTATGACTATGGCTGATTACTGCCACAGTCAGGATTATAAGACCACTTGAATAACACTGTGTGGCTCTTACAGAATTCTATATATTCTAGGAAGTGAAACTCAAATTCCTTCAATAGTACCTCCAATAGTGGTTCTTGAAATAAAAACATGTTTCAGTCATTCACATAAAACTGTCACACTGAAGAAAACATAAAGCAGAGGAATGTTGACTAATGTCTAACAATGAAACTAGTGCTGAACAATTTTGTCTTTTGCAAGAGGTATCCTATAGGTACAACCTCCTTAGGGTTGGTAACATTTGCACAGTCAAGATATTTTTCTGGAAGCTGGTAAGATATTTCAGAAATTAGAGCTTTTAGGTAAAAAAAAAAAAAGGCATGTTTTAAAAAATTATAAATTTAATTAAAAAATCCTCAAAGGTCATAGGTTATTACGATAACATAAGATAGGTCTTTCAAATTAAGAGAATAATGGATAAAATGAGTTTTATGGTATTTTGGAACGTGTATTTTAGTATGTCTTTAAAACGGATATAGAGTCTCAATATGATAAGATATTGCTTGCAAATTACCAAACCCTCCTCCTTTCTTTTGGTATAAAGAAATGAATGAAAAGAGAAGGAAACTACTAGAAAGCAATACCCCATAAAATGTGTATTTCAGGTGGGTAAAAGCATTCAAAAGGCTGATCTGTGGGCATGGCACATCACAGACCCCCAATCAACTGTCCCTCCAGGAACCAGAGAACAAGTAGCTTCAGTTGACTATGTTTATTTACCTATCCTGCAAGCAGAGGAGATATATGGTCTGGTAAAAAAAGGTCAACTAGACAAGAAAATTTGCATACTTTTGGGCTTTCAGCTAAGCTATATGCTAACTAAGCACATGGAGAAAACAGGCTTGACTTACCTGCACTGCCGAGCTGTTTATAAAACCTGTACTCTAAATGAAGCTGTGGAGCACGTGATTTTATTGGTTCCTGAAACCCAAGAAGAGAAATTGTGATCAGATGTAGACAAATAAAATTTTTCCATTCCTAGGTTTTCAAAGTAAACCAGGGCTAAGACCACTTAATATTTTAGAGATGATATCCATATATGATAGCATTTTCTTACCACAATTTCTCTTTGAAAACACAGCTAGGGGAAGATGAAGCTGAAGTATATACAATCCCTTCCAGGATATTTAAGTACAAATACTCTGTATGAGCCATCATTCAAGGATAGCTCCCTCACCATGAAGTATTCTCCTGAAATGTATTCTCCTAGGAAACCAGATGCAAAATGTTTTAATTAAAGACCAGCATGTATTCCCTGCCTGTTTTATTATGAATTTTGGGTGATAAACAGTATTATTTCTAGAAAAATGATATATGCTCCGAAAAAAATTTCAAATATACAAAAATTAGGAAAAGACTAAAAATAATCTGGGATCCTATCATTTTAAAGAAAAGCACTATTAACATTTTGGTGAATGTCCTTCCAAATATTTATACATATATTTAGATATAATACAGACTTGGAAATATATTTAAAATAAATGAGATCATACTATATTTTTCTTCTGTGTCTTTAAATTCAACAACATAATGATGACATCTTCCCATGGCAGTAAATAGCTTTACATAATTTTTTTTTTTTTAAAGGAGGCTCCATGCCGAACATGGAGCCTGAACTCACGACCTTGAGATCAAGAGTCATATGCTCTACCAACTGAGCCAGCCAGGTGTCCCATAAAGCTTTATATAAATTTTAATAGCTGTAGTGTTCCCCTGTGTGTGTGTGTGTGTGTGTACATATACCATAATTTTCGGACATTTTGGCTGTTTTCAGTTTTATTATGAATAATCCTGGAGGAACATTATATGCATATTTATTTTTACACTTAAGAAAATTAAAGATTGTAAATGCAATTAAAATATGTATCTTAAAAAAATAAAATATGTACCTTTAATCAATATGATGTTCAAGTTTGTAAAAATAGTGTTTTTAAAGACCCTGGAGATAAAACAGCCAAACTACCACATTTTGCTCTACGTCGAACTTTAAGAACTGGCTGGTTAATTATCAGGAATTGACAGTATACTGGGCAACTAGTTAACAAGAAAATCAAACATTACCCTGGAAAGCAGATCTATGTACCCATTAGGATAGCTATTATCAAAACCATAGAAAATAAGTGTTCATGAGGATGTGGAGAAATTAGAGCCCTTGTGCATTGCTGGTGGGGATGTGAAATGGTACAGCTATTACGGAAAACAGTTTGGAAGTTTCTAAAAAAATTAAACATAGAATTACCATATGATCCAGCAATTCCACTTCTGGGTATATGCCTAAAAAACTGAAAGCAGGGACTCAAACTGATATTTGTATGCCCATGTTCATAGCAGCGTTATTTACAATTATCAAATGGGGGAAGGGACCCAAGTATCTATCAACAAATGAACAAACAAAATGTGATTGTATTTTGCTACACACACACACACGCACACACACATATTTTCCAGCCATGAAAATAAAAGACATTTGGACACACACTACAACGTGGATGAACCTTGAAGATACTACGCTAAGCAAACTAAGCCAGACACAAAGGATCAAATACTGCATGATTCACTGATATGAGGTACCTAGAGTAGTCCAATTTACAGAGACAGAAAGTTAAACGGTGGTTGCCAGGGGCTGTGAGGGAGGAGATGGAGAGTCAGTGTTTAATGGGAACAGAATTTCAGTTGAGGAAGATAAAAAAGTTCTGGAGAAGGATGGTGGCAACGGTTGCACAACAACGTGAATGTATTTAATGCCACAGAGCGGCACACTTAAGAATGGGTTAAAATGGAAAATTCCAGATACAATTCTTTATCAGATATATGATTTTTAAATTTTCTCTCCCATTCCATGGGTTGTCTTTTCATTGTATTCAGAGTCCTCTGATACACAAACGTTTTTAATTTTTATGAAGTCCAATTAATCTCTTTTCTTGCTTGTGCTTTTTGTGTCATATCTAAAAAATCACTACCAAATCCAATGTCATGAAGCTTTTCCCCTAAGTTTTCTTCTAAGAGATTTATAGTTTTGGCTCTTACATTTAGGTCTTTGATCCATTTTCAGTTAATTTTTTATGTATGATGTAAAGTAAGGGTTCAACTTCAATGCACATGGATATCTGGTTTTCCTAACAACATTTGTGTAAAAAGCTGTCCTTTCTCCAGTGAATGGTTACTTGTCCTTTTATAAAGACAGGCTCAAAAGAAGGAGATCCCACAGTTTCCTTTGATAATCCCTGAACCCACTTGTTTTCTATATTTTTCTTAAGGTACAGAATCCATAAATCACAGAATTCGGACGTTTCCTTGAAGTTATCCAGTCTATCCCTTTGCTTCTAGGAAGGTTTTATCTAAATCAATTCAGGCAGGCTGAACTAGTTCACATCCTTAATTAGCTCCATGAAAGAACTCATATCCTTCTTTGATTATAAAATCAGCAATCATCAGAGTTGAACTTCAAGTTTATCAAGATTCTTGTAGTCAAAAGAAAAAGTACATAAGACTAATTATACTGTAAAGTCACTTCTTTATTCATTTATGTCTTCAAATAGAGGAGGATCACTCTTGAGAGTCTCCATTTGGCTTTAGATCTTCCACTGTAGCAACATTAAAGCAGCCAATTATGGAATTTGTCCTTCAGAAAATTCCCTAATAATTCACAAGGATCCAAATAGAAACAGGACAACAAATTAATATGGAACCAGAGATTTATCTTTCTGGAGGTTTTTTTTCTGGAGAAAGTCTTTGGACTCTGACAAACCATAAGGAGCAATGAATGAAAAAGCCACAGATCCTTCTTCAAACATAATACTTTAAAACTTCACAGTGGACACCTTGATAGGAAATACTCAATCTGATGTTGGGTAACTAAGCTAGCAGATTAAGAAAAAAGCAAAAACTCTTTAGAGTTACAAGGCTGAAAGTGGGCACAGAGGTCACATATATTCAGACATGAGGAGATTTTTATCACAGATGAAAGGACTTACACCCTTTAGGCCAACCCCTTTGGCATATAGTTGAAACCTGCTCAGACATTTAAAGCTTCAAGGTGCTCTTCTGGAAGCACTATAAATAAAGTACATTATAAACACTGAGTCTATGTCTTGTGGAAGACAGCAAGATTAGCAGCATGGAGAGAATTTTTTTTTTTTTAACAATTGTTAGAAAACTTCTGTTAAAAAGGACCTGAGAAATCTTGGTGATGGGGTAAAGGAAGGGCCATTAAACTATTTTATGTTGTATGTGATTCTTTAAAAAGGTTCCTAGAAATCTAAGAAACAAAAGCCCACAATGAAGATCCAAACAAAGTAGAAGGAAAACAGTACCAGCAGGGCTTCCTTTTATTTCTGTGCCAGATGCTGATCACATTTCCACAGAGGGCTGGCTATTTGCCAGAATCACAGTTATTCTGGAACACACATGTTTGCCTGAAATCCTAAACCGACAGCAGACGGCTACCTTGTAGGACTATAATGCTTAAGGCAAATTTTGCTGTTACAATGAAAAGAGCTCAATTACTGCCCTCCTAACTCCCATGGAGAACACAGCCCAACAGCAAAAGAGGAGGCCCATAGACAAGCCTTTATTTAAGATTTCTTTGAAAGAGAAATAAGCTCCTGAGATACTGGATGACATGAAGTCTATTTTTAGCTTTCACTCTTGGCCATACAAAGTAGAATAAAGTTTAATAAACTATAAGTGAAATGCAGTGATCCATCATGTGAACAATATGTTATTAGCTTATCTAACGAGGTTAACTAGTATGAACTTGGAAGAAGAAATCTAGATAGAAAAGATTGTCCCTAACAAAAAGCCTCAAGAGAAGTCTTGATAAATGAAAGTACAATAACAAAGATACAGTATTGAGACAGTATTTTAAAGTGTTTCAGGAGCTACTTCTTCCTGTTACTAGTCCAACTTACCAAAGCAGTAAAACAGGAAAAGTAAAAAAGCAGATGAACTAGGGAACACTTTTACAGAACCAAATTCCTATAAATAAAAAATATGGTTAATTCTTTGATATTCAATCTGAGAAAATGTTTGGCCTGCACTGTAACATGCATTACCTGTCTTCCTGCTCCCATTTCTCCAAGAATTCCAAGTCAACAAACAAAAGAAAACACTTGGTTCCCTAGCAGCTACCTGCTCTAAGCCCTGCTTCCTATCCATGTCTTTGTAGAGAAACCAATCTGATAACTGTCTGACAGTTGTCTTCACAAGACAACTCTGACTTTTCTATAAACTGACAAGTTCAATCCACACACAGAGCAGGTGTGGATGTGGTAAGTGCAATTCATTAGAAAAGAACAGCATTATCACAATTATCACAAGATACTTCCTTCAATCATTAACTCCTCTGTCTTCCAACTAATAAAGCCCCAAACTGCCTACATATCCTGGGAGACTTACTAGGAAGACAAACATTTACACAGTATCATAGAAACTAGTCATATGACATATTTCATATGACTAGAAATGATTTTGTACTGACCTTAAATATAAGATAAAGAATTTTCTTCTAAAATTACTCTTCCTCAAAAATAACATATTTTTTTAACAGGATGCTCTCTTTAATGATCATGTTAGTTATTCCTAAGATTAGTATTGACAAAACCAAGCCAACTTCTTGTTTCAAATTTGACCACAAGAGTTTCACATTTGACAGCTTTTTAAGGCAATGATTTGATGATCAGATTTGGTTCTCTACTACTAAGTATATTAATAAATACCTTACATTTTAAAAATGGATTATAGTCAAGCAAAAGAAAATGATAAAATTTCCAATGGTTTTATCTTTTAAAATAGCACTGTGAAAGGTACAAACTTCACAGAAATTACAAGTCTTCTAGCAATTGTTTTTCTTCCAGTTATTTTTTAATAACTATTTTTTGATTCATTGTTGCTGAAACTATAGTTAGCATCCTCTAACTATATAGCATAACACAGTGTACAGTGATACATCACTGTAACGCTACATATATGGTTGAAGGAAAGTGACTATGTGGGATCATATGCAAAGGGAAAAAAAATTAGTATTTTTGTGAATGCTTACAACTATTTCTTGTAAAAAGATATGTGGGGGGTGAGAGCACCAAAACATAATTACCACAAATATAAATTCTACTCACCAGTTTGATAGCTACATACTCATTGGTGTAGAGATTTTTACCTAGGGGAAAAGCAGAATGTATATGTTTTAGTGACATTTATTTTGGGAAATGCAAAGCAAAATCTTAGCTTACAGGGTCATGAGAAAGGTCACATTCCCAAAGCTATTCACATATATGAAACATGATTTATAAGTGAAAAGCTAAACAGAGATAATGAGACCCAGTAAGACAAGAATAGAAACCACTTGAGAATTTGGAAATTTAAGTTAGATGTGAGAACTTAAAAAAGAAAACAAATCTCTTTTCTCTCTCACACACATTTTGTTATTTGTTATTTCCCAACTATTAAACCATGAAGCAAACCAAGAAATGCCAGAATGTCAAAGACACAAATTTTAACTCTTGGCACAACAAACACAAACCCTCAATTTTTTAAACTCACTAACAAATGGGGTTATATATTATTTGTCACAGTATTTAGTGTCAACTTGGCAAAAAGGACAGGGTGAAATAAAACCAAATACTGCCCTATTGTCCTTTTGGAAGACTCATCTAAGTAGATGATTCTCAAAGCTGTTGTGATTCTTCACCAGAACTCTAGCTCTTTATGAGCAGAAAACAGCTCTTCACCTGGACAACACTTAGACGTCTCAAAGTTCTTCCCACAATATTAACGATTTTTTTCCTCTCAACTTCTCTACCTGTATAAATGGAATCAATATTCTCCTAGACATCTAAAGTAAGTGCCTGGAGTGAGGATGAGGATGAAAGCAGCAATTAACCACTCGGTAAGCCCACACCCATGCTGGGTACCCTCACCTGCCCATCTCTACTGATTCTTGAAGGCTAATTCTAATTCCTCCTGAGTGTTTAGTTATGGCATTGGACTTCACATTACTTCTTATATATTTGTCCTATCTTAATCAGCTAGATTATAAATATCTTTTTTTTTTAAGATTTTATTTATTTATTTGACAGAGAGATAGCGAGAGCAGGAACACAAGCAGGGGGGAGTGGGAGAGGGAGAAGCAGGCTTCCCGCCGAGCAGGGAGCCTGATGTGGGACTCGATCCCAGGACCCTGGGACCATTACCTGAGCCGAAGGCAGACACCTAACGACTGAGCCACCCAGGTGCCCTAGATTATAAATATCTTGAGGGTAGGAATTTTATCTAACTGTTCTCTCAATGTCCTATGGTGCTTAAGACCAAGTTCTCCACATCTCAAAGACACCCCAAACCTGATTGATGAAAAGTAACTGGCATAGTATAATTACTTTTTTTTTAAGATTTAAAAAATGTATATTTATACATACACACACATTTAAGATTTTTTAAGATTTTTTTTTTTTAATTTGACAGAGAGAGACACAGCAAGAGCAGGAACACAAGCAGGGGGAGTGGGGGGGGAGAAGCAGGCCTCCTGCTGGGCAAGGAGCCCGATGTGGGACTCAATCCCAGGACCCTGAGATCGTGACCCGAGCCAAAGGCAGACGCTTAACGACTGAGCCACCCAGGTGCCCCTTTTTTAAAGATTTTATTTATTTATTTGAGAGAGAGAGACACAGCGAGTGAGGGAACACAAGCAGGGGGAGTGGGGGAGGGAGAAGCAGGCTTCCCGCTCAGCAGGGAGCCCGATGTGGGGCTCGATCCCAGGACCCTGGGATCATGACCTGAGCTGAAGGCAGACACCTAACGACTGAGCCACCCAGGCACCCGTATAATTACTTTTTAAATAATACATAGGGGGGCGCCTGGGTGGCTCAGTCGTTGGCCGTTGGCCGTCTGCCTTTGGCTCGGGTCATGGTCCCAGGGTCCTGGGATTGAACCCCCTATCGGGCTCCCTGCTCTGCGGGAAGCCTGCTTCTCCCCCCCCCCACTCCCCCTGCTTGTGTTCCCTCTCTCGCTGTGTCTCTGTCAAATAAATAAAATCTTTAAAAATAATAATAGAAGTAAATGTTATATTTATACATACACACACATATGTACATAGTTGAATATATATGCATGGAAAAGGACATAGAAAGATGTATATTAAGGTATTAAAATGACTGTTTCTTAGTATTTTCTGATTTTTATATACTATAGTTTGTTTTTATAATGAACAACATGCTGCTTGCAATATAAGTTCCTATTTTAACCAGGATCTAGACAACAGATGGCCCTTTGCAAACCACACTATTATATTTTTAATACTGCTATCAGGTTGCCAAGCACCTTTATGTGTCAAAGAGTACACTAATTTAGGAATAACTTTTGTCTGCAAATAACATAATAAAGAGGACTCACAGATTGCCAGAGAAATACCTAAGAAACCATTTTAAGATGAACAACTTCTTTTTTAAAGAGGTAGAAAAACAGATATTTTTTCTCTATATATTAACTGCATTTAGCTTCTAAAAGTTAATTTGTGTTTCTGATTAATCCTCTCACCAAAAACATTTTTAAAAATATATTTGATGAGATTGTGTAAAAGATACTAATAACTTGGAGAGGATAGTTGAAGTAGAAACAGACAACAGAGGCAGATTAAAACTCCAATTTGGCAGGGCATCTCATATTTGTGTGGATTCCCTGCATGTATAAAATTAAATTTTATTTTCTCCAAAAACAGGGGCGGTGCCTGGGTGGCTCAGTGTGTTAAGCCTCGCCTTCAGCTCAGGTCATGATCCCAGGGTCCTGGGATTGAGCCCATGTTGGGCTCTATGCTCAGTAAGGAGTCCGCTTCTTCCTCTCCCTCTGCTCCTCCCCCTGCTCATGCTTGCGCACGCTCACTCTCAAATAAATAATCTTTAAAAAAACAAAAAACAAAAAAACTCCAACTTGGCTACAGACTTATCCCACACCAGATACAATACTGCATAAAGATTTTTCAGGACAGCCCTTCCTGGCACAGTATAAGCACTTATTGTGACCCAAAACCAATTTTGGCACAAGGCTGACCCTAAGAACTTAGTATCACTTAGAGGAAAATGGTCAAGTTTAAAATTGTAAACATGTTTAGGAGTCTTTATGAATTGGATACCACCCCTCCACCCCCTGCCCAGCCAGTTTTTTTAACAGTAAGAATTCCTACGGGGGTAGAGGCACCAAAATTCACCCCTTACTCATTTAAAGTATAACATGCCTTTACTGTCAAAGAATTAACCTAACCTTTGAAGTACATGCTTAACATAACAGATCTTCAATTCAACAGATACAACATTAAGTAAAATAAATTGGTGGTGTAAGTGTAAGAGTAGTAAACCTAGATTCTGATCTGTGTATTTATTAAGTATATATATTTAAAACCTACCAATAACTGAGAAAGGCAGTTTAATGGACTGTGAAAAGAGAGAAGGCAATTCAGGAGTTCTCAGGGAAGAAATTCTTTTCTTTCTTCCCCCCATCTACTTCCTGGCTAGCGTCTTAAAAAATGAGTTGAATTTTAATAGATGAAGAAGGGGAAAAGGCATCCCAAGGCAAAGAAACTGTATGAAAAAACAAAAAATCGACAAAGTATATGGTATAGCCTAACAATGATAGGTGGTCTGGGAGGAGATGGACTGTAAGTTGCATCATGAGGTCCAGGATGGAGCAGGAATAGGCAATGAGTGGTTAGGGTAGCAAAAGAGACTAGAAAAGTAAGGCTAGGGCCCCATAAGAAAAATCCTCAATGCCATCTTAAAGTTTAAAACAAAAAGTTTTTGTAGGATAGTAACATGATCAGATCTGTGATTTTGAATAACCATTTGTGAGGAAGTATAAACAATGAACTAGAGACCAGGGGTGCCTGGGCAAAACAGCTGGTTAAGCCACTGACTCTTGGTTTCAGCTCAGATGGTGATCTCAGGGTTGTGAGATCGAGCCCTGCAACGGGCTCTGCACTTAGCACGGAGTCTGCTCCTTCTGCTCCTCCCCTCCGCGCGCTCTCTCTCTCTCTCTCAAATAAATAAATAAATCTTTTTTTAAAAAAGAAGGAAAGAAAAATAAGAGACCAAAGGTAGGGGAAAGCATTTGAACACTTAATACCCAGCCTATGCAATATCAGACATCTAACACTCAGTTCTCACCCTGCAGAGACTGTATTCTAGCTCCTCACACAGGGCCTTGCACAGGTGGCTCAATTATTAAATTAATCACATAATGTGATGAGTTAAAAGAGAAATATGAACAGGTTAATACAGGAGCTTGGATGAGGGAGGGTAAAGCATTTGACCACAAGTGGCATTTGAGGTGAGCCTTGAAGGGCAAAGAGAGGAGACAATAAAGGGTATTTCATCATATATAATAAAATACTAATTTGAGGGTGCCTGGGTGGCTCAGTTGGTTGGGCGACTGCCTTCAGCTCAGATCATGATCCTGGAGTTCCAGGATCAAGTCCTGCATTGGGCTCCCTGCTCGGCGAGGAGTCTGCTTCTCCCTCTGACCCTCCCTCCTCTCATGTGCTCTCTCTCTCTCATTCTCTCTCTCAAATAAATAAATAAAAATAAAAAATACTAATTTGAATAGTGAGGTGGAAACATGATAGAAAATGTGCAGAATCTGATATACTGTGGGTAGACCAATATGAATGGAACACAAAGTATATGGAGAGAAATGGTGAGAAGTAAAGCCAGAAAGATCCAATAGGGACAGGTGAATAACCTTGAACGCCAGCTTCTTACTCTAAGGTATTCACAACCACACGTAGGTGGAGATGTGTCAGGTCATAAGGTACACAACTAAGACACACTTTTCCTAGATCTTCACTTTTCTTTGAAGATTTGGGGAAAATCTTTTTTATAGTTAAGCAAAAGTTATAGAAATTGCACAGATTTCATTTGAAGAAAAAAAATGCAAGAGTTTAAGGAAATCCCAGGCACTTATGGATGTGCTTCTTCCAGAGTCCAGGGGGGGTCTCACCAATCAGTAGGGAAGCTTTTTCTCATTTTCCCTATGTTCAGCTGGGCAGCCCAGTTTTCACAATGTATTTCACTTTTTACAGTGTGAACCTTCCATCCTCTTGTGAGCCAGGTGATGCCAGGGAGAGAGGTGATTTAGCCAACCAACTGCTTCATATATAGACTTGCCACTAAGTTC